TCTCGTATATTTCGATTTTCTCCCTCAGAAAGCACTACGAAGTCTGTCTGACATGCCTCACAATCATATGTTGGGTTGCTGTATTTTCCATATCTGATCCACTCATAGGATGGCTGTTTCGTGCAGAGAGAGAGATAGCAATAGACTCTCTTCGTTCGCTTTTGCTACGTATTTCTTTCTAATAACGACGCTTCGTTTCGAACGGTTTTTAGCCTTAGGCTCGTGTGATAAAATACGCACTTATTCCTGCAATAAGCATATATACTACAGATGCAGATTTCGATTCGGCATCAAAATACAACTCTATGCCAATGAGTTCTACGCTTCAGAGCAGTGAGATTGAGCTCAATTGTGTGCACCTCGTGTACAAGTATTGCCATACCGATACCTCTCTGTCGCGAAACGTATTTTCCAATAAACTCGTATTTACGAAGAGTTTTTTTTTTGCCTGAGATCTTTGTATAACTTCTTTGTCTTACTGTGAATCCCTGTGTTTGGTTTGTTATTGTGCTCCTCCATGCACATAAGCTAGTCGTCAGGAAGAGCTTGAGAGCTTTTCTCTTCTTTTCTATTACACTAAGCTCAGCAAAGAGCCATAAGCTCTACTGTTTTCGATTTCTATGAAATATTAAGCACTATGAGTTATTTAACAATTTGTCACCCGCACTAGAAGGGCTAGATATTCATAGTGAGGCAGGTCACAGTACTCAATATGTCGTAGGATAGTTCCACCATAAAAGGCAAATCTATGCGAGAAACTGATATCACGATCTGTAGTATTACCCCTGATCACTATGATGGTGGACTCGAAGGTAATTGCAATGACGTATATATCAGAGTACCTTGTACAGTTATAACCATGCCTGTTTTTGAAACGGATGTAGGCCTAGGTAAATCACTGTCGCGAAGGTCGCATGAGCGCTTACTCGCCTTCCTACCAGGCGTGCAACACCAAGCCTGTGATATGACCCGAGAAGGATCTATTCATTAAATCCTTCGCTCTGTGTACTGACGAAAAAGAGTGTGCGATGATGTGCAGAAATGGGATATGTTGTGTACCTTATTTTATGGGATCGTGACTGTTGAGTAGGAATCGTTGAAAGTACAGTAGAATAAACATGTGCGAAGACGTGTCTCTCGAGACACTCGGTACCCTCCTTGCCCTTTGATTCGCGCTAGCATTTGTATGCCAGCACTCATCCAACTCTCTGTCTTTTGTGCTTGCTACACACTCTCACTCTCCAGTATAAATCTAAGTGAGTGCAGCCCATGTATCTGCAACGTACGGCGAGGTGGATATATCTCTGAGTTATGCACGTCTGATCGGCTCGGAGATTCTGTCGGTATACCTCGCCTCTAAGCTCTTGAGAGGCATGAGATAGTGGTACGCAGTGAGCTCAGTTTGTGTCATGCGAAAAATTTGCGTGCGTATTTTGTCACAGTTCGCATCGCTCTCACTATTGATGTTATGCTAGACAGCCGTGGGTCATCTCTTAAGCTTTCTATGTGCAATCTCTTTCACTCCGTATCTCTTACCTCTCTGTCTCTTGTCAATTCTTCCCATACTTTCAGTATAACTATCAATCATGTGTATAAATGATGGATAAGGTGCCTGAGAGGATAATAAAGTCACGATGGCTCTGACATATGTGTAGCTAGCCCACTCGAGCAAGCTTGCAGTATTCAGATCATTCCTATTGTAGTACCGAGGTCTCATGAAAAATGTATGGGCTAAAAATGGCTGATGTGCAGAAATTATTATGGGCTATTCTAGAGTCGTATGTACTGTTAGTGTCGGGTTTGTATTGCATATAAGGTTTTTTTGAGCTATAACTAGTAGTCTCACACATCTTAATTGTTGCACCTAACCATTAATACTTGAGATCACGTTTTCCCTAATAATTTTTGCACCAATGCATTTTCTCTATACTTGTATTGTGTTTATGAATATATATTGTATTATGTCTCTGTGTGTACAGTCATAAAATTTTTCAGATGGATCTCTCTCGTAGTGAGAAAACAATGACAATGTGTGTGATAGTTGTAGATAATCAGTGTATTGCTCTCAAATTGTGTGCTAGTGAGTGGTGTTTCATTATCGTTACGTTATTCTAAATTGGCACAGCCGTGTAGCTGAGCTTCGAATGTGAGGGTCGCGTCCCGGCGCGGACTTCCTATGCAGACCTTAGTGATTCAGAGCAGACGAGGCCTCTCGCTCGCTCCCGCCCGGTAGTTAGGTGGTAAATCTCTGTCCGAAGTTCACAAGACACTGAATGTGGTTCCACTCTGCACGTTAACCATTAAACGCTAACACATATACACGACTCGTCAACTCGTCCTCGGGCATCCGACCTCTTGCGTCGGCGATAGAAGCGGAACGATAATCAGGTGGAGGGAGCCCGGCTATCTTTGTGAGTTACACGTGTCGAACCGTTAATGCGCCGCTTCGTGCGCTAGCACAACTCTCGTTTGAATAGCACATCTTTCAACGCATGTCTAGTTGGGCAGGAATTTCAAGAGTGCTTCAAGGATCGTTGCTCGACAGGTTCTATATGACAACAAAGAACGAACTTCTATTCTCGTAAGCGGTGAGTGAAAACAAACCGTGTGCCATACTCCAACCCGCGTAGATGTATGGCCTCCTTGAGTGCTGAGGTTCGCGCAACACCGACTAAAAAGTATGGTGGGACATGTCGCACAATCCCAATTACAGCGACGAACTAGAAATGAATTACTTGCAATGACAGTGCACCGTTGCAGATACGCAATAAAACTGTATTTGATTTTGCATATGTGTCCTTAGTTCTGTTTACTACAACTTCTGTCTGAGACATACGGTTTCGGCAGGATAAGATAGACCCTGTAAAAATATTTTATGGAAGAACAGTATCGAGGAAAGATCTATGGCATGATGAGTTCACTCGCACTAGAGTGTGCCGCACACCCCTAGGGAAAAACGCGTATGATGCTCGTGTTCGAAGTGCGTTATGTTTGGTAATCGCATACTCTCGACTCTAGTAATGTAGTCGGAATCCGGCGATATAGGCGTAGGAAAAAAGGTCCTACTTCTCCGAAGAATATACTAAGCTGGTTCTGTGTTGGTGCCGCTCTTATGATAAGTGACAGTACTAGCACCTGAGATAGATTACACTTTCTCGTGACTACTCATCATGTGAATAATTAATGTTCCGCGAACATGCTGTTATTATGGCGTTAGGAGCGTATCCAGGCTTGTTCCTTAGATGGCTATCAACTGCTATATAATGACGCAGTGTACGTTTCCTACTCAGTGCATGAAAAAGGGATGTGGGCAAGCAAACAATCCAAACTATGCTCTCCAAGCCGTGATGATGATAGACGGTGAGCTCATACAGTAGTTCAATGACGCATAAGTAGTTGTGTCTATAAGAAGACGCCCTTTCTTGATTACTTGCGTAGAACTCGGTCACACGTGACATAATACTCACCACCAAGTTTATGAAAGTCTGTTGAGTGCCCAGCGCAAGAAGTATAGCCTCTCTGATTCGGGATTAGGCAGACATTTGTGAGATAACACGAGTCAGTTGCGCAAAGTAGTTGCGCTATGGAAAAGTCTTTATCAGTGGTTTGCAGTGTTATTTCTATCTTTTATAATTGGCACTTGTCGGTGACTCCGAACAGCAGTGACCCATGGTGTCAGTGGGCTTTTACACTCGAGGTGCAGAAGATTGTGAGGTGAATAGTCCGTGTATGCGCTAACGGGCACGTAATGACGTCGCAGAAGCGTAAGGGAAAAGACTTTCAAGGGAGGCGTCGTAACAGCTGAATGAAGGACTGCCAGAATTTATCTTTGGGCCGGCACATAGAAAAAACTGCAAACAATATGTGTGTTCGTGATGGGGCCCCTACAGAGTAGTAAAGTTGAGTCGCACTTACTTGACATATTCTCGCCATTGAGCTTAAATGTGATCACCCTGAGATTATTTGGACGAACAGCATTCTCAGAGGCACTTTTCACGGTTGGTCATATACGAGATATTGCGTCCAAAAGCGAATGTAGCTGTGGCTTTTTGACTAGACCGGTTGCGAAGAAAACTCATTAAAGAACCCCCAAAACAGGCACTTGACTCACTCACATGGCGCTGATCGTATAAGCCTTGGCAGCCTGAGTACTAACGTCACTCTCGTTAGAGGCTATCTTCTTGGTACGGTAAAGAATGATAAGGAATGGGAGCGACCAGCGAGAAGGGCGCCAGTATTTGGGCTGGTACCGCCAATGCGAACAGCGCAAGGTGACGACCAGGGCTCTTACAAGGAAAGGCTCCAGGTCGCCATGGCCATTCAAGAAGAGATGTATACCACTAGATGTGCCTTTGAACGCTGATCTCAAATCTACCTTCCAAATCTGCTAAACGATTCTCTGAACGGAGTTATGAAGCAAAACAGCGCAACGGCAGTGGTCGGGATTTGCAGTCAAAACGTCGTAGGATCGGCCCTGATCGCGTTTACTGTCTTGCGTTCTTCAGGAATTAGGCTAAAGGCTATTAAAGCCTTTAGCTGTACTCTGAAGAAGGCAAAACAGTAGACGCGATCAGGGGCCGATCCTACGACGTTTTGACTGCAAATCCCGACCACTGCCGTTGCGCTGTTTTGCTTCATAACTCCATTCAGAGAATCGTTTAGCAGATTTGGAAGGTAGATTTGAGATCAGCGTTCAAAGGCACATCTAGCGGTATACATCTCTTCTTGAATGGCCATGGCGACCTGGAGCCTTTCCTTGTTAGCAGTTTAGTATGCTCTCTTCATTACTGGTGAACGTAAAATACCACATGTACTTTCATATTAGGACGCAGCAACCCGCACCTGTTCAGTCGCGGAATGTGTCTCTGATTTTCATGGAAAGCTACATTTTGCGATAATTCAGAATATATTTTTGAACGGTCTTAAAATGATTCATTCAGTACGCCAATGCACGAGTCTTCATCGATAAAATTTACCCAACAAGCGAATCGCGCACGCAAATGCGTCAGAACGTCGCCAAGATCGCGTCGAGCATCCTCATAGGTCTGTTTTCGTGATAGATATTTTGAAAAAAAATCCTAAGTGAAGCTATTCCAGGATTCCGTTCAATGCTTGATCAGTTGGACTGGATGACAGCGGCCTCTAAGAAGGGTGCTTACAGCAAGATCGACAACCTTGTCAAGAATATCGCTTATCCGGACTGGATCACCAACGATACTCAGTTGACCGAATACCATAAGGTAAGTGGGTAGTGATTTGCTGAAGCAAAAAGCCTTTTCGATTTTGATACCTCGAATTCGGAGCCTTGCCATACAGCATTCGTGTCATGTTTAAAATGGTGAATTCGGCGTCGGAAAAGTCTTACTCATCAATGACAGGTTCCGTGATAAAGCCCTTCTAGGCCTTTGCATCGCTGCTGGGTTGGCATAGACAGCCATACGTAGACATATTATAATGCTCATGCTCAAAAGGCTTTTTTTTCAGAACCTAGGCATACAAGTGAACAAGGACGATTACCTCACCATGGTGTCAAAGGCACAAACATTCGCCGCTTACACATCGTGGGATGCTCTTGTCTCCGGACCGGTCAATCGTGTTGACTTCCTTGGACCACCAGGAACAACGAATGCCTGGTATCAGGTAAGAAATGCTGTCAGGTGTATTTGCTCCAGAAATCGAAACAGAATCATGGATCTTTCACGAAGTCTTTAACGTTGTAGTGTAAAAAGAGGATGGAAATGGCTGTGAGTAAAATCCCGGGCAAAACAGACGCTGATATGGGTGTTTCCAGCCCTGAACTAAAGCTCAAGCACGTCCCTGAGCCATACTTCCATCGACCCATTCTAACGATCCGAGTGTCTACCGAATTGGAAATGAATGGTCCAGGTAAAGCTTCTTCAACGACCAGCTCCTGACAGCCCGAAGCTGCAATCAGAATGTTGCACTCAAGGGAGTGTGATCATCTTTAGACTAATGCTATGTCTTGCGCAGCTGTGCGGGATAGCGCATACATACAAAAGCTTTTGAGCACAGAGTGTCACATCAATTCTACCGCTTGATCTAAGCGGACACTTTCCCATTTTGTATTTATTATGTCTGAAGGAAGCGATTACGATGAAGAGGGAGCGCACCGGGAAAGTATATGTGCCACACGAAGAAGTAGCTTGGCTGCCAAGCAAGCAAGATGTAGCGTTTTCACGACGGAAGGTGCGCTGGTTGCTGAGCAGTACTTAAAGCAACAGTTTCAGCAGAAGCCGTGCTGAAGAATCTATTAATTGGGTGGTATGGAGTAGCTACGTGTAGCACAGACATGCCGTTGTCGCGGCTCGAAAGTACGCGACAACGGCGCTAGAGCCTTACAAGCTGGCTTGTTGCCACAATCTTGGCTCCTGGACGAGTTACTTGGCGCACACCCTATGACACGCAACATGACATAAGGGAACGGCTAGTTCTATTACGCGCGCGTTTGTGGTCTGCATGGTAGTCGAGCACAGTGACTGTGCCAATCATCACAGGCGTCACTCAGTGCTGCACTCCTCCATTCCTCATGTTCATATTTTCCGTATCGTACTTTTTAGGGCGCTGTCATAATTTCAGTGTTGGGAGCTCAATTGCAATTACTGGCAAATAGCCAACTATTGCTGGCTATTTGCCAGCATTTGCAATTGGACTGAGGGCAAGTTCAGACAACTCGTCCAACACGCGTCATCCTTCATTGGAAGGGCAGAAGGGGAGTCCCCGCTTAGAGCCCTCTCCAACGTTTTTTTTCGTTTTTTTTTCTCCAGTATCGGTCAACACTTCACCTAGAACTTCATTATCTACCGTTTTTAGCCCGCAAATTCCTTCGGGAATAGTTGCTTTAAGAATTGCCACGCCCCTAAGCCCTCCACTCACTAGTCCTAAGCCAAACTTTTCGTGCTAAAAATTGCCACGCCCCTAAGCCCTCCACTCACTAGTTAGCTCATACAAGGAAAGGCTCCCAGGTTGCCATGACCATTCAAGGAGAGGTGTATACGCCTAGATGTGCCTTCGAACGCTCATCTCAAATCTACCCTCCAAATCTAACTATTTTTTCGCAACAGAGTATGAAGCAAACCAGAACAACGACGTAGGTCGGAACTTCACAGCAATCGCGTAGGACGATCGCCCCTTATCGTGTTTACTGCTCCATCTTTAGGAATTACAGTTAAGCGGGCATCATAGCCTAAATATCTATAGCGAATCCTTGCGAAAGCCAAATCCTAACGACGACTTTGACCTATCGATCCCGACCACTCCGTTGAGGCTTTTGCTTCATAATCCGTCCTTTAGAGATCGGCGTAAGTTGAAAGAATTTAAGCGTTCAAGCTCGGCGATGGAGGATGTGAACACGGTGGCCGTCGGATCAAATTCCACCCTTTGGACAGGTATGGTGAATACCACGGGTGAAAAAGAAAGTTTCGAAGTATCAGACGATAGGACCGGGAGACTCTCCTATGCTAGGTCAACACCCATCGCTTGTTACCTCGAAATTTTTTACGACCCCCCCCCCCTTCAGGGGTGGTTTGATACGACCCCCCCCCCTTTGTATGTAACACTTGTGTAGAGACAGTGTTTACCATCAATATTTATTTCTACGTAAGTCATTAAAGATGAAACTTTAGCAAAATCCACGACAGAAATTCATCGCTGCTTGCAAACACGAAAAAATGAGATGCATTCAAAGATATCCGTGTACTCCAAAGGGTTACCAAACTAGGAGATGAAATAAACTGAACCAGTGACCGGAATATTGAACAATATCCCTGATAAAAACTTATGAGAAGTCAGAAAAACAAATTAATCGGCTTCTACAATTGAAATACAGACATCTTCACTTGTTCTCACTTTGCCTACAATTTTACCCCTCCTTCTCTAAGTGCTATAAACCCTTCACTATTCATGCTTGTGCGCCCGAAGTATTGATTTGAAAATTCCACCAATTCCATTTCTCAGTTCTCCCCACCAGGTAAAAATTCTCTCGAAAAACGAATAATTTAATGAAAATTAGTACGTGTTACCTGTGCTGCGAGAGCGAGAGCGAAGCAGCTTCAAACGACCATAACTTCCTTCAAAGTCATTCATTTGGGAAGCTGAACACGTATAATAAACTACAGGATTCAAGCTTTCTAACGAGCACCCAAGCGTTCCTGAAAGATCAGTAGTTCAAAAATTAGTCCCGTTGTTACTTTTTTGGGGGTTTGCGTTACTATTTTTTTGGAACCGCGACTTTTTGACCTTCAAACGATCATAACTTCCTTCAAAGTCATTCATTTGGGAAGCTGAACACGGTGTAATAAACCACAGGTTTCAAGCTTTCTAACGAGCACCCAAGCGTTTCTGAAAGACAGCATCTACAAAAAAATATACGCCGTTTTACTTTCATTGAGGGTAATCTTCAAGCACCATTTCTCGAAAACTGCAGTTCTAGGTCACCGCCCGTAACATTCTGAAACCAATTTTATCTTAGTTCAGATGGCCTGCGCTCCGAGCATGCCATTGCACTACATCCCCTATGCCTTGGTGCGCGCCTCAGCGCACATCGGCGCCCTCTAATTGCGCATGGTTCGATTTGAAACCTCATTTTAGAGGAACGGTTTATAGGATCTCTAGGTATCAGTCATCTTACGAAAACGTAACGTGCTGGCTATTATCCGATATTACCAAGAATCCCACTGTCGGCCACCGAGAGGGTACGACCCCCCTCCCTCCAAGCTCAACTGAGTACGACCCCCCCGTTGTTACTCGTAACAACGTAGGGTTGACCCTGCTCCCAGGCCGCGATGGCTCCAAGAAGCATGTAGACTATTCGATTCATAGCTTGTAGCAAACATAGGGTTGACCCTCGCCTGGGAGCCTTTCCTTCTTGGAGCAACGATGATATGATGCCGACTAACCCTGTGTGCGTAAGCTCCGTCCATTGACGTCGACCTCTGAGCCTTTGCCCGCCCCTAGAGCGAAGAATTGTGCCAAACGCAGGGGGTCCCGTGTTGATTAGTCGCAACGGATTCCTGCTCTTCATCATGTTGTCTACTACTTGAGCCCACCCCCCCCCCCTCGTTAAACCCCTTTTAGAGCCTATTGTACTCTTTGACCTAAACCACGCCTTAGCCTTTTGGTATACCATCCAGTTTAAGTGCACCATTGATTTGTTATTGTATTTAAATTTCTTTGACAAATTTTTCGATTTTGAAATATGAGAGAGAAGAACTGGACGTGTTTTCACGAGAATAACTCGGATTTTCCTCTAATTGACCGTGTTTCTACCAAGATTAGTTGGAATGTCACGTCTCAGTCCATTTTCAGGATACCGAAAACTTTCGAAATGGCGTAAGCTTGTGGATGTCTTCATTTTTTCGTTAGCTTTCGTCTCCCAAAAAGGGGCCTTCACGCTGCTTGTAGCTCCGGAACTCTTACATAAATTGTGTCCAATTTTAACAAACATGCGCCTGTCTTCATGCTTGGTGTCCAAACAGCACTTTAATAGCACATTTCAGGCCATGAACTGACCCACGGTTTTGACGATCAGGGAGTGCAGTGGGATGGTACGGGAGTCCTCAGCGGGTTGGAATTTGAATCCATTTCATCAACCTGATCTCTTATTTTCTTGACAACGGCTTTTTGTTCAGATGGATGGACGACTCATCGAAGAATGCATTCGGAAAAATGGCCGACTGTGTAGTCCAGGAGTACAACAATTTCTGCCCTCTGAACAAGACTGAGTACGGCACAGCGGCATGTTTGGATGGAGCCCAAACCCAAGGAGAGAACATCGCCGACAATGGAGGTAGCCATTTTGGTTCTCAGCGTTAACACCGTCCATAATGATCAACTAAGAGAACGTTGTCAGGAATCCATGCGGCATTCCGTGCGTATCGCAACTTCATCAATCTTTACGGCCCGGATCCTCAACTTCCAGACGATTTGCTTCAGGAGTTCACTAATGACCAGCTGTTTTTCCTAGCTTTTTCTCAGGTCAGCTCTTTTTTCGAATCTTATCTTTCCCCAAGAATTTCACGAATCTGGTCTTCCCCCAAGAATTTCACTGAGGAAATAAAAGTAACGGAGAAATCGGAGCAAAACCGTCAACAAGCGATCGAAGCAAGTGTTATCACAAGGGCGTCAGAAGGATGCTGGGTGTGGGACAGAGGCGAAACGAATCACCTCTTTTTGGCAATGTGACTGAATACACTGGTGGGCAAAACTTGAGGACGAACGTAGCGACGGTTCACAAAGGTATCAGAAGGTTATGATACTTCATATGTCTCGTCCTTAGGTATTGCACACCAGTGTAATTCCATACATCCGAGAGTTACAGTACCCTTATTCTTAAAGCAACAGTCCCAGCAGGGTTCTTACCTTTGACGCTAATGGTAACGATGCCCTAGCCCTGGTCAAGAACATAAGTGTGACAGAACAAAAACTCACCTTGGAAATCCGCTAGAAAGGAAGCGGAACGGCTCCCGAATGGGCTGGATCGCCGACTGAGCAACCACGCCCACTTCGAAGCCGTTCAGCTCCCTTTCTAGCGGCTTTCCAAGGTGAGTTTTTTGTTCAGTCACACTTCTTATGTTCTTGACTAGGGCTAGCGCATCGTTCCACACCATTAGTGTCGAAGGTAAAAACCCTGCTGGGACTGTTGCTTTAAATGAGAACTGTTGGAATGAGTGGCCACGAGTGTAGCCGACAATTCATTGTCCAATCTTAAACTTGGGTAATTAAACGAGAAAACAATGACTATATACAAACTTGCAGGGGCCAGCCGATGTAAGTCAGTGTTTTTATCCTCCCAGACAAGTCTGGTACCAATTAACCGACCCCGGAGGGATGGAAGGCTTGGTTGGCCCGGGCGACTCACGACCCAGGATTTGATCCCCGGACCGCTACGTGGTAAGCAGCGCCACTTGCCACTACACCAGTTCCGCCTTGAAAACATAGGTGACATTAAAATATACCATAGAGATAATACACATACATGGAGGAATACAACGTTTGAGTCAAATCGAGTGGGAAGCACTCCTTCCGGATTCGTGCTTATATGCCTACCATATCTATGTTGTGGCAAATCTCCGTAAGAATCCGTAGAAACAGCAATCAATTGCATGCCCCCCCCCCCCCCCCCCCCCCCCCACCCCCTTGGGGCACGGCGTGTGCTGTAAGGGAAATGAGTTTCTCAGCTAATAACTTCGTATAGCATACATTATTTATAAAGAAATACAAATTGATAAACGAGATTAGGTCCCACGCAGGGTCAGTCCTATCGTTGTTACTTTTCAAAAATTTTTACGACCCCCCTCCCCCAAGGTGGACTTTGGTACGACCCCCTTTTCGACCCTCGACCACCATATTCCTCTCTATAGTATTTAATTCTGGTACCACTCAACCCACCAAACTCCGCCCACTTTTTCCTCCAAAATGCCCGTCGAGCGGGGGTATACCCACTATGAAACAGTAAAAACTTACCAAAATTCCCTAAATTTCACCAATTTACCCCACTTCTACCTATAATCCCACTGCTTCATTTTCTAGGGGGGGTATATACGCGCGCTGAAACGGCGAATTTTTCTCCCATGCGCTCCCAACTCACCTAGCCTACTACTCGTGAAAACTCCACTTTCACCACAAACTCACATGTACAAGCGGATACGACCCCCCCCTATAAACTCAACCAGGTACGACCCCCCGTTGTTACTAGTAACAACGTAGGGTTGACCCTGTTGGTTCCAAGCAACACCGGAACCTCTTCCTTCCTGCGTAAGCTTTGTGTATCCGCTTCATCCTTATCCTCCCCTCCTCCATCTACTGCTCCCCAGCTGCCACTGCAGCAGCTTGTGGAATGATTGAAAGCTTGCTAAGTAGGTGTTTATATAGCCGTCGGGGTAAATGTCACAATCACTCCATTACACAACATTGATGGCGCAAGTCCTGCGATCTATCCAATTTTGATAGCGCCTTGTTTGATCAGTGGTTGCATTATCACTCACTTCATTTTGAGGACAGACAAACAGACATACACACAGACATACGTACAAACCGACACACCAAGTTAGTTATTTATACAAATAGAAGATACTCGATATCGGTGAGTTGGGGTGGGTGTCACCGGAAGTGACGTGCACTTGATAGAAACTATGTGGATAAGCTGCTTCCAACATACATCGCTGGATATCAGCAAAGCATGCTGGCAACAGCTTATCCACGCACTTCTATCAAGTGCACGTCACTTCCGGTGACACACCCACCCCAACTTTCGGATATCGACTGTACCTATAAATGGTGCTTATCTTTGTGGTACTGCAGAAAGCCAAGAAGGCATCCACTGCGGTAGTTATTGCGACGTTTTCTGCCATCAGTAGTGTTGTCTAATGGCTAAAATGTCTATTTTGGCCAGAAGGGTATGGAATGGTACGCACTGAAGGCAACCGCACTTCCACGCCTTTGAGTTTGAGCTGTGGGAGTAAGTAATATTCCGTGTCAGTAGGATTGAGGATGTTGATTGAACCTCGATTTCTTCAATTGCTGAAGGAGTTCAATAGGAAACCGAATACTCGCTGGCATGTTATCATCTTCATGCTGCCTTTCTGCGGGTTAAATATGTATGAGATTCCCTTTGCTCTCTTGACTATCTCCTGATTTCGAAGAACAATCAAATCAAACTTCTTCTCCCCCACAGGTTCCATTTCCAGGTTTGGTGCCAATCACCACCTCGTCCTTCACAAATTGAACGTCAGATTCTGGTGGATCCACACTCACCGTCACAGTACAGGGTTTGGGGAACGATTCAGGTATTTGTTCCTTCATTACAGCCAGACTCTGTGTACGTAATACTTCTGCTTCAGAACTTCCCTGCCTTTAAAGACGCCTTCCACTGTCCATCTTCAGCTTATGCTCCCGATCAGCATTGCGATGTCTGGGTATCTGATATTGAGTCGTGTAGGTTGATAAAGTCAACATAGATCAATTTTCTTCAGAGACGGCGCGATTCTTTTTCAGCGTACGGTGAGCCGGTTGTTAAAGGTGAGCTGAACATCAGGCCGAACAATATGATCACGACGAGCGACATCGACAAGTACAATGCCTACAAACAAGCGGTCGACTTCTACGAGGTAAGTATCCCGCAGCAAGTGCAATGGATACCGAAACATGCAAAACACTACTTTATCCGGGTAGTTCAGAGGACAAAGAAAACCTTCGACGTTGATCAGTCCTTTTGGGGTGTGTCACGAATTCTACTTGCATTTAGAGTGGCATTTTGGACGCGATTTGGCCCATATAATGGCTTGCGTGGCTGGACGATGTGATAGTCAGTACTTTTATTCATTTGGTCTGGAAGGTCACACCCCCTTTAGCGATTCGAGGGATGGACACCTTAGCGATTTGAGGGATGGTTGACACGATCCGGAATTCGATTCTCGGACCGTGCGTAAGTAATGCCACTTGCCTCCCTTCATATAGTAGGAGTCGAAGTTCGTTCGCTGAATATCAGAAACCTGCGCTATCATGACGTGCACTTTTCTCGTACTGTTTCAAAAAACTGTACGACTGCAGTCGTCCCAAACAAGCTTCTCCCAAATTGCCATGTCACCAACAGTCCACTGCAGCAATCCCTTGAGTAGGTAGGATAGCGCTACCAGGGAAGGACTTGGGATGGCTTCCGATTCATTTTCATGGTTTGAAAGTGCGCGATGAGTGTGTTGGGTTCTTGCTAGTGTTACTAAATGCTCGGCATGGCTGACTCTTCCATTGTTCGCTATTTGATGAGCCGAGATGCGCCCTCTCGTACTTGGACGGTGTGCTCTCTCGCATATCTCCTCCCTATCTATCATGCCCCATTACTCCCTCAAAGCACGGTCGATCTCATAAACTCTCTTTTGATTTCAGTGTTTTTTAATGGTTCCTTTCTTTTTGATCTTTACTGCTGTAGCACCTTCGGTTTCGTTTCATTTTCAAGCATGATGACCACAAATTTTGATCGAGGAGTGTGTCTTCAAGACGGTGAAAATCCACAAGTGTAGTTAGGAGGCTCGTATAACTTTGTCGCTTTGTTTGACGTGAGTCGCGGTCTTGACTTATGATTGTACTGGAGCCGTCAGCATTTAGTCTACGTGGAATGTGAAAGCCTAAACGCACCCACAAAACACACCACTCACCCGCCAACGCACCACACCAGTCTGTTCAAAACAGCCTGTGCATAATGAGAGAAAATTATTTTTCGAGGTAACAGAAAAGGTTTTATAGATGAGGATTAAGACAAAGGAAAGAGCTATACGAAGTTATTAACAGCCAAAAAGAAAAATCACGACAAAACATCTGTTATGTCGTCTAATAAGTAGTGTCGCTTTTATTCAAACGAAAGATTTTCTACTAAATCCCCATGATTTTGCACTATACCATATACTATTTGAAATGGAATTATCTGCTCTACAAGTCTGCTATGTTTTTTTCCACTTCAGTTGCAGGGTTTTCAAATTTTAGGCGTGCGAAATAGGAGGTCCAGTCGAAGAAAATTAACCATACCAATAAGTAGCTCCACCTTTATGTTCTCTGAGGAAAATCAATCATCAATGGTTGCTCTCTACTTATACATGACCTCTTTTGACATTTCACTAGTAAATTCTCCAAGAAGTCGCGTCGCTCCCGCTCGCCCCGGGCCGTTTATTTTTTCTCTTTTTCTCTTTTCTATGCTCCCGGGTTTTTTCCACCAGGCACTCATTCGCCACGGTCCCGAGCCACCATTACTTGAAGCATCCTCAGCTCATGCGTTTTTTTGCAGCAAAAGACTTCTTTTAAATTAACGGAGTTAGAGATCAAAGAGACAAGTAGACTATGTTAGAATGTACAGCATTGTGGAATTTTTCCATATTCTCGGAATTTATTTCTTTTCATACGTATGCGCCATCAATCTCGTGGACATGCTACCTTAAAAAGTGGCAACGATTCTCTCGGATCAAATAAGGGTAGTCTAATAAGCGTTCAGTCCGGTACTAGAGAGTGGCGAGGTGCGGTCTTATAAAGAAGAAGGAAAGCAAGCGAAATCACAGATTACGCCCCATACGGAAACCTCCCCAATTTCAGCAACATTCCACCTTGGGATAGAGAAAAGGTGCGTTGGACGAGTTTCGCGAGCCTGACTCTAGCTGCTCCAGTGCCATTGACACAGCACATCCGCTCCGGAGCCCTCCCCCTACGCTCCGGGCGACCGCTGCCTGCATATTGCGCGCCCTTTTCATAGCAGCCACCATCGTTCGGCAACGGAACGCGGACGGTGGGCTTCGCTGGCCGACAAAGGGCTCGTGGCTTGAGGTTGGACGAGGCTGCCTTGTCGCTTTCGTGGCGCACATTTAAAGCACAATGAGGGCGCCCCGACAAAAAAACACTTGTCGCCTTGCTGCTTAACCCGTAGGATTGCGAGCGAGGCCAATCGGCGCCCTCATCGTGCAGAGCCGTGTCTTTACACAAAGCACCAAGCCCCGGACTCCTAATATTCGAGCTAATTCCAACAAACATAAAAACAAAACAAATGAGCGAATAGAGCAGAAGAAGTGCTCAAAAGATACACCAGTTGATATAAAACAATGGCGTTTCAGAAAGAATTTCAATTTGAAAATTGCCATGGCTTATCGGTCAGGCCAATTCGAAAAGAAACACGGCAAAGCTTTTTCGGCAACCTAAGAGTGGAATGTTTAGAAGAGGTCATGAGTAAGTAGAGGGTACATCATTGATTGATTTCTCCAAGGGAAATAAAGTTAGAGCTAGTTGTCGGTTTGGTCAATTTTTGTCGGCTGGACCTCCCATTTCGCAGGCCTAAAATTTGAAAACCCTGGAACAGAGGTGGAAGAGAACATAGCATCTTGTAGAGCAGACAATTCTCTTTCGAATGGTATATGACTGATGTAAAAGCATGGGGATTTAGATGAAAATTTTTTGGTTGAAAAAAAGCGACACTACTTATGAGACAACCTAATAAGTAGATAGCGCACGCGAATTCGCAAGTAGAATTCTACAGGCTAATCTCTTAACCCATTCGCGACCGCAGGATTGCGCAATAGCAGCAGAGTCAGGAGATTTTTCTTCAATAAAATTTGAGTGGAGGGAGATTTCCTCTGCCCAGGGCTGGCGTAGATGAGCGAGGGTATGAAGATTCTTTTCATGGAAGAAAACTTTCCAAATTCCATTTCAAGCCCTGCAGCCACAGTAATACCATTGTCCCGAGTGAGAGCTTTGTCAGCCACCGGTGGCTGACATTGTCACGAATGGGTTAAAGGAACTCACAGAAAGGCGCATGATGTCGTGACATAATGGTTTGTTTAGAAGAGCGATAACCCTTGTGGAGGAAATATTTAGAGCGGACCTGAGTTCGTGCTAACGGAATCTTGATTTTAACTGCGGAACCTCTAGTTCTGGTTATAACACAGTCAAAGAAGTTGTGTGAAATCCACCGCTGCTTTACCTGTTAAGATCTTAAATGCCATTACAAATCTCTGAAGCTTCGCCTGGCAAGCAAACTAGGAAGAGAGAAAATGCTGCGACGTTGACAAAATGACACCACCAGGGATGAATTTTTAGGACAATACTAAGCATCGCATAGCAAGTTTCCGCGTGAAGCTGTTCTGGAACACTTTCCAGCAAACGTATATCTTTCTTTTTAGAAGGACTGAATACTGTAGTGCCAGATTCAAGAATTGGTCTGATATATTTTATACGCTCTAATAAGAGTTCGTGAGTCCCTTGAACAGAGCGCTCTAAAAAGGTTATGAGTTCTCAACATGGCTCCAATTGCACACTACATCTCTATAGTGCTTTCAAATTCAAGGTTATTGTCGAACTTAAAGTCAAGATCGTGGTCTTTTGAAACATATTGGAGCTTCTTCGATCCTACCCGATAAGTCATGCTAGAAGTCCTGCCAATACAGAAAAGTGATTTTTTCTCTCACATGATAGAGGTACCTCATCTGATAGAGCAAGACGCAACGTAGTCCATCGCGGCTTGGAGTGCCCTAGAGTCTTCAGAATTCTCAGTAACTTTATGGATCTTGATGTCGTCAGCATAC